CTGCATGTGCCTTTTGATGAGAGGCCTTGCTTTGCTCAGTTAAATTCAGGTAATTGCATTAATAAAACATTTTAAAGAGCATTGACAAAGGAGAAGGAGGTGCCACTATTCTGAAGTAAAGGTTTCCATAATGAGCTGAGAATCAGTGTATGATAATGCTATGCTTACACAGTCCCTCATATATTTTGGGCTCTGATTACACCCTGAAGAACCCTGCTAGAGCTGTGTCCCTACTGTGCAAAGCACTGTTCAAGAAGACATAAACTCAGCAAGACACAAAAACCTTCACTGAAGGATTACAGGTGATTTGTGGACAAAACAAAGCAATGAACTTAAGATATAGTGGCAGGGAACAGGGGAAAGAAAAATAAAGTAGAACTTTAGCAATGAAATCCTGGCTCTTTTCAAGTCAGCAAAAACTTTGCCCTGGCCTTAAGTTGCACCTGCATTTCAGCAAAATTTTAGTAATACAATCATGTTTAATTAAGCTTATACAACATTTTTTTTTTTTTTTTTGTCTTTTCCAGTGTGGAGGAAAAGGGCAAGGGTTTTTTTTCCCCACCTCTCCACACTTGTGCTGATGCAAGGGATAAATACTTGGGCATCACCTAGGGACTTTTTCAGTGAGGATAGGTCTGGAAGGAGCAAAGGTGGAAGAGGAGAGGACAAGGAAGAGGAGAAGTCATTGGAATGGGCAGGCAAATAAAGGCAGCAGCAGAGGATAAGCAATGGCTAGAACAAATTGCAGCTCTGTGCTTGGCAAAAAGGAAGATAGCCACTGAAGAGCATCAAAAAAACATCCAAAGTATTTCCCAAGCTCAAGTTCACAACTGCAAGTTGAAGCTGCCCTTCTCACTTGAACATCATCAGGAAGGCCAAAACCTCTGGTGCTCCCACCCAAAGGATAACTCACCCAACATCCTGCCAGGCTAACACAGATAGTTTAATGTCTGTGCTTAGGAAATTCCTGCCACTGCCTTGGAGGAGGATGGCACCATGCCCACCCTCCTGCAGGGACAGGGAGCAGTCCCTGCCTGTCAGTCTAAAACAGAGACAATATTTCAAGATGTCAGCTTGACAATCTCCTGTGAACTGCCCATTTATCTCCCAGCAATGGCATTTTGCTACATATCCAGAGGTCTGCAGGAGGTTATTCTGGATGTGCCTCTGCTGGGTGAAGAGAGACCCAGCAAGTTCAGAGCTAATAATGGACTTTCCAAACTAACAACCCAATCTCCTTCCAGTGGCTCCTCACTGTGGCTGCAAATACACTGTAACCACACCATAATTCCATTTCTCAAAGGTGTGTGCTTTTCTGCCAGTAAGTCACACAAGAGAGCAAAAACTAATCAGCACTTAGGGACACTGTTGCCTCAGTGACATTTGCAGGAGCTCTCCATCAGCTGCCAATGAACATCCATCACGCTGGTGGAACACTGTCTCCTTAACTTTGCATCAGCTGCTGGCTGGGGACATTCATTTCAAACACAGCCCTGGGTACTTACAATAACCAAGCCCAATCTCCATTTGCTTGTTTGCTGTCTCTGAGAAGAAAGGGGAGCCTTAACAGCCTCCCTGAGAGATCTCTGCTCCTACAGAGCACTTGGGACTCAGACCTTAACCTCCAGGACTGAAATCAAAGCGAGGAGGATGTGTGATGTGAGAGAAAAAGCAGCTGCCAAGTGACCCCGAGAGTCCCTGTCACATCCCTCTGGAGAAAACAGCCTGGGATTTCCTGCTTCCTTCACACCTTCCCTGCAGCCACCACAGCTGCCTTCACCCCTGCTCTGAGAAGGGCCAGTGGGGACCTGAGATGCCACGTTCTAGTCCAACAAAGAGCAAAGCAGAAAACAAGATGGGAAAGAGAGAGAGGGATCCCAGTAAAACCCACCAGACCTGCCCTCTCTCCTACTCCTCAGCTACCAGAATCATGACCACCAGGCATCAAGCTGTATTTTAATCTGCACATGTGAATCAGATCATGGTTAGCATCACAGTGACTGTGCTGGCCTTTTCTGCAGGGGTTTCCAGGTGGAACCCCAGCGCCAAAGCTGGGGGTAAATCCCACTGAAACAAGGGAATGAGGCAGGCTCTGTATGGGCAGCTGGGGCCCCAAACCCACCAGCATCTCCCAGGACCCAGAAGAGATGAAGATGCAATGAAGATGCTGCCTGGGGTTACTAAGCCATCTGTCAAAGACAAAAGATTTTACAAAAGGATACAAGAAAAACTCTCAATGGGTTTGGATTTATAATTAAACTTCAGCATTTCAGTTGTACATGTTAATGATTGAGGGGCACAAGCATAAATATTTGGACAGCTGTCTAAGCTACATGGCTTGTTGGCATGTTTGTATTTTGTGCTTATGACTGTTATGACTCAAAAATAAATCAGATGTACAAGATCTGTTCACTAGAAGAAAGCTAAATATTCAAGAAATGGGCCTTTGTAACTAGTCCTCTATCCTGACAGCATCACAGTTACTGGCAGTGATAAGAAAAAAGACTGAATCACATTTAGATTTCTAACCCCAAACCTGAGAAAAAAAATATAGAAACAATATAGGAAAATTCACCCAACTGCAAACCTCTGATAGATATTGATAACCTAGAAAAAAAATCTGAGAGAAAAAAATTAATCCAAATTTGTGAAAGATCAGGCAGCTGAAATTTCTACAAGATGAGTCAGTCCTGGCACACACACACAGACACACACTTGCAGAAGATTTTTAAATAGAGGCTAATTTCAGCTGAAACTCAGCAGTGACAAGCACTTCTATAGATGACGATTTGGAATCTACATACCAGCAAAAGTAAATCAAGTGGGTGAAAGGGTTCTGAGACCACATAAAACAGTGCCTCTGTTTGCACTGAAAGCAGCCTGGGTTTGAGTCAGAACAGCCTCTCGTCTTTGACTTCAGTGTGTGTGCTATGGATGTGAGAAAGTTTGCAGACATTATAAATTCAACAGGATGAGGGAAGAGCAGAGCTCAGAGCCTGTAAAACCTATGAACTGCTCAAGATTTCATCTGCAGAGATAGCAGGTATAATCTTTGTTCTGTTGAAATAAACAACAAAATGCTTGGATGCCTCATAAAGTCAAGACTTCAGAGCAGCAGCTTCCTGAATCTCAAAGTTCTGTCTTTTCTACAGAATTTATAAAGTCATAGTTCACAGGTGCTTCTTTTTTCCCCACAAAACAGTGATCTTCCATTGTCTGACTCTCCTACAGTACTTTGAGGAAAAAAAGCAATCCACTGTTTATTCTAGGTAAGCACAGAGATTTCCAAAACATTGCTTTCTGCCCTATCCCACAACATATTGAGCTTTCAGCAAAACGCAGGTCCAGGTCAAAAGTTTGACTGTCAGCTAAATTAAGTGTGAAGGATCTCACATTAGTTCTGGACAGAAGGTTACTGTGTGTCACAGTGGCGTGACACTGTCTACTTTGTGCTTCTCAGAGGGGGCTGGAACTTTGCTTTCCACACAACACCCCAAGTATTTGAATACAGCAAGCAATGAACCAGATGGCTCCTAACAGCTTTTCTCTCCTGTATTCTGTTTTCCTAGAGTTTAAGTTGTTATCAGGATGAAATTATTTCTTTCAGGGAAAGAGATCACTACTTTTCCACTTAATTCACATGCAAGAGATACTTTAATGACAAGATCTATCTCTCCCACTGAAATCTCTTCAGAGTCCTTACAAATTTCTGCTTTCTAAAAGAGACCTTATACCTCTCACATGAAAACCTGTTCACCTAGGTGGGATATCTCACCACCTGAAAACACAGCAGTCAAAATGGGACCACTGAAGTGTGATAATGGGATGAACTTGGGCCAGGCCTTCCCAGGGCAAGAAGAAGCTGTTATCTGAGCAGGTCACACGATCAGCATCTTCACAGCCCTCAGTGAAGCAGAGCAGGTTGATCAGGGTGGCCCTCAAGGAGATGCTCCTCATACATTTGCTTTATCTTGTGCTTGTGACATTCAACTGTCTTGCCCACACTCAGTGCCTGCAGTTCCAGATGGACAGAGAAAGATAAACATACACCACACAAAATAGAAGAAACTGTCTGCTACCTTCCTTGAAAATGACCATTTCTGTGACAAAGGGAACTGCCATCTATGTTACTGAGAATTGGTGAAGTACTCAGACCTATATGAAATTATTTTCCTTGCAGGAAAGGCAATTAACTGGCCAAGTGTATAATAAGATCTGGCACTCAGCCATGAAGAGTTACAGGCTGTTGTTAATTATGGAGGTTCAACTCTTAAAGCCATGTGACCTGGAAGGACAAACGTGTGCACCTACAGCTTTTACAGCCCCTGTTCTTCACTGTGAAATGCTGTTTCCCACAGCAGAATTGAAAGCTCATGATCATTAGAATGAGAATTGTAGGCTGGGTAGTGGTTTTGGAAAACACTGACTTGTTTTTAGGATATATTTCAGGATTTCTTTATGACATTCCTTACAATAACTCAACCATTACAATGAAACCCCAGTCTTCTCATTGCTTGAGATGCTCATCTGCCTAGGATTTCATCTTCTCCATTCTAGACAGCCTCATCACAGTTAAAATGAAAAAAATAGAGTTTACCATCTACTTATTTGCATGCTCATACAGTTATGAGTAACAACTCTCAGCACCATGCCATCAATTTTTTTGCTATCCAAATTGCAAAAGGGGTGCTTAAAAAGCACTCAGTACTGGTTTACACACCCTTGGTAGTCCAGCAAGATCCATGCTATGAGCAAAGGAGGCAGATGCAGAGGGCTGGAATTCCCACAGGGGCTTTTGACTGACCCCTGGCCCTCAGGGGTGCACCTAAGGGGGCGGTGACAGCTTTTACATGAGCCAGACCTGCATCACAGCTAAAAATAACTTCAACTTCAGCATTCATCCATGGCAGTAAGCAAATACTGAGTGCCTTTGAGAGCTCCCAACAAAAATACAATTCTTAAGCATACTAATATGAAGCACTGAAGAAAGGGTTCCATACCTTAAATTCCTCCAAGATTTTGTAATTTTTCCCATGATATTCACAAAAGTTTTTCACTTCTTTGCATTCTGGACAGCATCCATTGTGTTCCACTTTTGTGCACTTTGGGTGGATTTTAGGGCATTCTGGTTGATCACAAACAGGTCCATCCTCAGTACAGACACAGGGACAGTTGGAATGTCCTGGGAAAAAACGTTCTCCCAGTTTGTACACAAAGCCACTGTCATCCACACAGCCCTTCCCCCGGTAATCATCAAAGATCAGATTGTCATTACTGGAGGTCTGGTCCCCTTCATCAGCGGGGTAATCTTCATGATTGATGGCAGCTGGAGTGACCAAACCAGGCAGCACAAACAGAAGTATCCAGGCTTCATGGATATGAAGAGCCATCCCCCTCCTCAGCTTCTCCATGGGACCTCAAAGCCAGATACAAACAGCTGCTTCCATAGGGAGACCAGTGTTGTGGTCTGAAAACAAACAGGTTCAAGTGAGAAAAAACCTCAAAATTCAAGGAATACTGACTTATAAAAGTCATTGGTTCAATCAGTACTAAAGAATAAAGCAAAGTTTTTTACTATCACTGTTTCATTTGAATTAAACCTCTTCTTAGGTATTGGCAAAGAGAACAAAGCATGGGAAATACCTAAAATTAGACACACATGCCTGGAAGCCTATGACCATAAAATACCTCTGAAGGAATGGTGGTTCACAGAATCATCTAATTTTTACTTTCCCCATTTTTGCAGCTGAGTTTTTGGATGCACCAGAAATTAAACCAGCTGCCTGAAATCGCATGGGGATGGGCAGCTCGGAGGGTTTTGAAGCCGAGTTTAAGAATGGTCTAAACCTCCAGTGGTGGCACTGTCCCTTGGTGCTAGGTTTGGAGCACAGCCCACTTCATTAAACCGAGGTGGGAAACCTGAGCTGAAAAGGGAGTCGAACATAATCTGTTGTCAGATCTGTGTCTGATCTGAAAGGTGGTGCTGGGTTAAACTTGGGCTGTGAGCGGTGGAGTAGTACAGAATGTTATTTACAGCATTTCTGAAGAGGGACTTCCCGGGCTACCAACACAGCCCAGCCTGCAGCAGGTGCGTTTAACCCTGCCAGAGGCAAAGATGCAATTCACCTTCTCCATTATTCAGCATTTCAGTAATTCCCAGCAAAAACCGCGGAGTGCAGGGCGTTAAACGCCTGCATAATGCATGGAGCCGCTGGAACGTGTCGGCCTGATTAAGCTGAGCCTTTCTAAAACTTCGGGAGCGATGCAGCACGGCCCGACCTGCGGTGAGCTGCGCTGAAGGGGTGGAGTGAGCACGGAGCCCGGCAGGGAGAGGGGCTTTGAGTGACCCCCGGGAGAGTCGGCGCCAGGAGAAGGCTCCGTGGCGCTGTCTTGGGAGCACTTCTGGCTGCCCACAGTGCCACATCACTGCCGCCAACCTGCCCACACACCAGCAACCCTGGCAGCCAACTGGTTTCTGACCCCTCTTAAAAAAGCTGGGCAAAGTATTACGGGAAACTTTTAACTGAGATGAAAGATCAGCATTACATGGACTGCAGAACTACGGAGGCAGATGCTGGCACAGACCAAAACAAGAAGGACTGTTGGGGTGTGTGTGTGTGCCATCATCCCTTCTCTTCCTCCATTCCCAGAGCATGCACACACAGGCACACGGAGTCTACACGAACGTGCATAAACCTACACACACGGGCAAACACGTACTCCCCCACCCCTCGGGGTGACACTTTTATATACTGGCATTTTTGGCGGACTGCAGATGTTCAGCAATTAATTATCCCTTAATTGAAGCAAAAAAGGAGCAGCAGGAGGAGAAAGCTTTAATCCCAGAGAAGCAGCTAAAGGATCCTGTTGACCAAGCAGTTTTCCCGAAGCCACAACAGAGGGAGACACCGGATATTACACAAGATTTATCAAATTCGAAAAGATATCTTCTTAATTGAAGTACTAGCTGTGTTTCCATCACAAGGACTATTTACTCCTATCAGCAATATCTAGTGTAACATGCTGTTTGGAAATCCAGCGATTCATGCACCCTCTTGTTACTCCTATCAGCAATATTTAGTGTAACATGCTGTTTGGAAATCCAGCGATTCATGCAGATACGGCTGCTTTACATATCTACAGAGCAGAGAATCTCCCCACCTAACGCTACAGGTAGGTTGCAACACTGCAGATTTGCGGGCATTTAGGGGAAAAAAAAGGAGCAGCAAACAGAGTCATTCATATCTGAGGAAATGTGAAACACTTGTGACAATCTGCTGGAGTTTTATGAGGAAGCTCTCAAAACAAATGCCTGTGTATACATATATGTATATAAAAGTTCTCCCCAGATATTTTGCTACAGCAGCTGAGATGTCCCACAGCAACTCACAGGCACTCGGCTCGATCCTGGAAATCACACAGACTGCAGACGTCTTGCACGGACACATTTCAACAAGTAAACAAATGCTGCTTGGCTCAGAATTAGTTTACAGCTTGAACTTTCCCATCATTTGTCATCCTGAGAGAGGCCAGGTTCGTAGGTAAGTCTCTGAAACGTTTCCATCCGCCTTCCCTCACCCCAAGTAAATAATTCACACCTACCTGATCAGGCTGGATGTGAAAGCTGAGAGGGGTCACAGGCCAACATGGACTGTAAGGTTAGAAACAGATTAGTGAAAGCAGTTCATCCTAATCACGTTTTCGGTGTTGACTCACGGACAATCCCTTTTCCTCCACCTCCCATCGCAAAACGGGAGCGCGGCAGCCCAGCAACCACAACATGAGAACTGAGCTTTAACCCGGCGCCGACGATTCAGAGGGAGCAGGATTCAGGCGGTCCGGAGGCTGCGACGCCGCGGAGAAACCCCGGTGCCAGCAGCAGAGTCATCGCGGCGAACTTGGGCTGCATCTCCTCAGCTCTCGGGGCGGGCGGGGGAGAGAAAACAACCCATCGCTGTCCCCTCCCTGTGCCCGGCGGATCTCCTGCGGCTCCAGCTTCGCCTCGGCGGGGGAAGGGGGGGAGCGATGGCGGGTTAGGCGGGAGGCAGGCGGGGGAGGGCGGGCGCAGGAGCCCCGCGCCCGGCGGGCGGGCAGCCCCCGCGCCCCTCCGGGGACTCCCCGGCCCGGGCGCCGGCCATGCCCGCGCCGCGCGGCTCCGCGCTCCCTGCCTGCCCTTGTTGGGATTAATTTCGGTTTTAGGGGGGTGGTGGGAAAAGAAAAAAAAAAAAAAAAAAAAAAAAAAAAAAAAAAAGAGAAAAAAGCGGGGGGG